GGGTACCTGCCCACCCATGCTCTTTTATTGACGATACAACCACCACTTTTTAAACCATTTCCCCTTCTCTCATCTCCCCCAGGCAAGCCCAGAATACTTCCTGTGTGGAAGTCTGGATGTTACATTCATTCAGAAGTGATCTATATGCGTTATGGAAGAAAAAGTAGTACCTTTTTTTTTCAGCTTTTTGGGTAAATTAAGATCAACTTTTGCAAAAGAGCAAAAAAATAACCAAAAAATATTATTTTAAAGCATTTTCAATTAAATACGTTAATTCTAGGAAAATGCAAGCAAGAAATCAGTACTGAATTGCCATATATATATATTAAAAAAAAAAAACAAAAGAAAAAAAAGATGTCCAAAAACTATGCCCAAAGAGAAAGAACGAACCATGGTTTTACTTTCCCATAGTAACTGTCAATGAAATTGATCACCTTGAATCTTGAGTAGATTTCCAAGTTCCTTTAGGCACTCCTCACTGCAGTCCTCTTCAGAGCAAAGAAAGTTTTCAGTATATAAGGCAGTAGAAGCTAAGTTCTTTCCCTTAAAATAGAGAAAGGTTGTCTATCTCTTTTATTATTAACCAGAAACATATGGACAGTGCGCTGAGAATTTGTAATTTTAATTCTATTTCATCCAAAATCACTCCCCAGTTTGCTCAGAAGGTGCTAAAAAAGACTCCAACTCCTATGAGTTCCATCAAGTAGTTTGCTTAGATCATTTCTCACGTTAAAGACAAGGGACGCTTTTACTGAAGTGTGTAAATGGAGAAAGATTACTAATTTTTCTGCTTGTAGTCTTTCTTCAACATCTGGAAAAAATGAAGTCTGTTAACATAATATTGATTTTTATAGGCAGTGCGTGTGCTGAATCCTCAATTACAACAGTAGTATAAATACAGGAATATGGTGCTGTTTTTTCCTCTCTCCTGTTAACTGAAGTCTTCTCGTGCAAGTCTTGGTTTGAAATTGAAATAAATGCAGTAATTCATACACTGCAAGATACATGATTGAAAATTAAAGTGAAAGAAGAAAGTCATTCAATACAGCTCTGACTTTCATAAACTGTGTTTTGGCCATAAGACATTTATTTGCAGTACTCTTTGAAGATTTAGCCACACTCATATAAAATTGCTATTTTCTCTAAAGGTATAATAATATTTGTGTGTTTAACAAAATAGAAAAAGTATATTTCTAGCCACGCTTTTGCTAGTGCCCGTGGTCTACATAATGTCATTAACTAGAGTAGAATTTAGACTATATGATGTTTTAACTATTCTTTATGAAGTCCTTAAGAGGAAATCCTAGTTTTTAGAAAGTAATAAAGGAAGGATGATCACATTTGGCAGAAATGCTCCAAGGAAACTGTTATTAAAATAGGAGAAACCCTCAAAAATATATACAAGATTGCTCAGAATAAATATGCGTGTTTCCAGAGGGAAGCATTTCTTCTTAGAGGCTTCAGAAACTGTGAATGAAAGAAAAAAAGATTAATTACTTTAAAGATGTGAGTGGACTAGCAGTCTGTACATATTGGGTTTTAATATATGAATCCAGAAACAGGCATGAAATGAATTCAGTAACTTCTTGAGTACAAGAATACATATTTTAAAACTCCCCAGTGCAACCAAAACCTTATCTCTATGGTATAGAGAGACAACTTGTGTGATGAGTGAAGAGCCATTCAAAGCCGCTTGATGCATAGCTGCTGGCGAGAGCAGAGATTAAAAATTTGATTCATAAAAGCTGTTATCTGCCAGCTAAGGCAATTTTGCATGTAGAACATAATTTTATGGGGGAGTGGACTTGGACGATTCCTTATAAACTTCTCTTGTGAGAAATCAGATGTGAAGAATTCTGTGCAAAGCACTCGGTACAAAGAAGACGAACCCCAAACGGTGGCGTCTACAATGGACAATGTGTTTGTAGCTCTTAAATGTAAATTCTACTGTGCATTGAATGTTCAGGTTAATTACTAGGTGTAATGAGCCTACCCCTTGCAAACAGCCTGTGCTGCCGGTACCTCTGTGTCCTCCCCAAAGAACTGGGGGAGGGAAATTGAGGAAATAGGTGTTAAGAGCTACCAAAGCTTTTTGAAGGCTTTGACACAAAGGTTATGGTGTGAAATTGTTTCTGGATGTCGGACTTTTCCTGGATTGCTCAGCAACCTCACTTTTAACTATTTTATGCAAATGGTTATCCCCAATATGACCTTCAATTAATTATCCTTGTTTTCTATATAAAATACCAGTTCAGTGCCATTTCTTAGGACATGTTGATGAGTAACTAAGAAAAAAAACATAGCCAACATTTTTTAAATGTGGATATTGTTATGTTAACTGATCTAATAATCTGTGTGTGTCATGCCTTTCAGGCATATATCACTTTTATGTAAAAATAGGTACTTTTCCCACAGGTTAAGGAGAAAAGAGTAGCAGGCTGCTACTTCAGCTTGTTCCTTTCCCCCCTCTTCCCAATGTATAGCAATCACCCAGAGTGCTCGCTGCAGGAATTTAATTACTAGTCTCATTTCTACAAATACTTAAAACTGAATCCCTTTTGTAACTTTCATTCTTTATAAATAATATTTTCAGAAATGCCTCTCTTACATGGAAGCCTAGGGTCAATTTTCAAAAGTCTCATGGAATCAGTGAGCCATAAACCTTTAATTCCATGAGTCCAACTTCTGCAAATGGAAAGCTAACACATTGAAAATGTTACAACTCTTGCCGATTTCCAGAGGGACAGAGTTTTTCTGATATTTTTAAAAGCACGTCCTATATTTTGCTTGGACAAGATGCTTTTTCTCCCTGTTGTCTGAAATCTATTAGTGCTCGCCTGTGCCTTGTGGTGCACCTGACATTGGTCTCCTCTGGAGGTGGGATACTGGACTAAATGGAGCATTTCTTTTTTGTGGCTCAGCATCTCTTTGTAATAGGAGCTCTCAGGAGGGAAGAGGCATAATATCCACGTTGAATTAAAAGAAAAATGAATAGCAGAAGGGGAGAGATCTGAGCTAGAAAAGACAGCAGTGAACTGTGTAATGGGATGGCTGAGATAGAATGGAGCTGGGAGCTATTCCTGAGCTTTTATTGAGTAAATCTTGTTTATGTTACCTGCACTTTGAAGGACAACGTGTGAGTCTCCAGGGCTCTTTTAAGTATTTAGCAAATACATGTCTCATAAGCCCTAAGTTATTGTCAAGAACTACAGTTTCTTTCTGAATTAAGTTTGCTTTATATTCACCATTGCAGCATCTCTGTGATGGTAGCAACAGGTTCTTGTTGGAATGGAGAAAAATAACCTAAAAATTCAACTTCTGAAGGATGATAGAAATACAGAAAACTAAGAGTTACCCAAAAAAAAGCTACTATGTAAAATGATATTTTATCACATTTGGCTTCTCTCATCATGAAAGAAGTGCAACTACGTTAGCTGTATTTTGAAACCACTGTAATATAATGAATATATATTTTTTAAAATCAAAGGAAATCATTAATATTTAACTTTGAAAACATTTAACAGGAAATATAGTAATTGAGTTATTCTTAATTTAAGAGTCACTAATTCTCTTACAGGGTGGTATCAATAGAGTACTGTCAACAAGAATAGGAAGTAAAGAAATCTTAGTTAAATTAAATAGATAGCTGTGTTCTTTGCGCTTCTTTATACCTTTGCTCACTGTAACAGTAAGGCTATATATGGACAGGTAGGTTGACTTATAAGAAAAATGCAGGATTTACAGAATCACAGAATCTTCTAGGTTGGAAGGGACCTTAAAGATCATCTTGTCCAACCGTCAACCTAACTGACAAAAATAGACACCCACACAACAAACAAGGAGCATCATCACTAAACCATACCTCCCAGCACTTCATCAACCCGTCTTTTGAACACCTCCAGGGATGGTGCCTCAACCACCTCCCTGGGCAGCCCATTCCAATGGCTGAGAACCCTTTCAGTGAGAAAATTTTTCCTAATATCCAGCCTGAACCTCCCCTGGCGCAACTTGAGGCCATTTCCTCTCGTCCTGTCGCCTGTGACTTGGGAGAAGAGACCGACCCCCATCTCTCTACACCCTCCTTTCAGGGAGTTGTAGAGAGCAATAAGGTCTCCCCTCAGCCTCCTCTTCTCCAGGCTGAATAACCCCAGCTCCCTCAGCCTCTCCTCATAAGACTTATTCTCCAGACCCCTCACCATCTTTGTCACCCTTCTCTGGACCCGCTCCAGCACCTCAATGTCTTTTTTATGGTAGGGGGCCCAAAACTGGACACATTTAGAGTGGTTCCAGGATCCCACAAAAAAATAAAGGAACTGATTGCTTTAAAATGGTTGTGTTAGGGATCTGGCAGCATCCCTATTTCTCAGAACTACAAAAAAAAAAGTGATTTAAATGAAAATGAATGCACACACACGCATGTCTACTATTAAATACAGTGGTTTTAGACGCGCATATCTACACACAGGGTTTTTTTAATTTCTGTGAATTATTTATTACCTGGGTTTAGTCCCCTTTTAACACAACAAATAAATTCCTGGAAGCTTTATCAGCTCAGCATCCCCATGGTGTAACAGACCTCGCAGAACACTCACTTCAGGATTTGAGTGGCTTCAGAGGCTGCCTTCCCATGGGGACCTGCGACCACCAGGGCTTCGCACCCCTCTCTCACGGACACAAAGCGATGTTGCTTCTGAATATACCATAAAAAATCCACAACTACGATCTTTAAAATCTTTAAGAGAACTGTGAACGACTGTGTGTCTTTCATACCCTCGAATTTGCCATCAGACTTTTGTACTTAAAAGGGAAAAACTCTCTCCAACCAATATTTGTGTGTTGAGAAGCGGATTCCTTATTATATACCATATAATATATGTAAAACCAGCTGCAGCTCTTTAACTGAGTAGAGCATCTGTGTGGTGAAGCAGCTAGCGGTTCAGTTATTTGTATTACAATTGCACTTCTGAGCTTTTTTTTCCTTTTTTTTCCCTTTTTGGCAGATGTACAGCAAATAGCAATCGACTGGATCACTGGAAATTTTTACTTTGTGGATCACGTCAGTGACAGGATCTTCGTGTGCAACCGCAACGGGTCAGTCTGCATCACCCTCATCGAGCTGGACCTTAACAACCCTAAGGCCATAGCGGTTGATCCAACATCAGGGTAAGGTTATTTATCTGCATTAGGATTCATTTTACATGGTGTGTGCTTGTCTGTGAGTGCATGTGGTATATCTGTTTCACTCACGTATTTTAAAAACTCTTTTTTCATTGCTGTGTTGAGTTATTTGTATAGTTGCTATAGCTAAACAGTAATGCATAACGAACTGGTAGCGAGTAGTTAACTATATTAATTGCAACATGTGCCTTCTTTTCAAAAATGGAATTGGAAATGAAGAAACAACATTATGCCTACTTTTCATAAGATTTTCTTTTGCCTCTGTGTTTCTGTAAGTTGTATTTCTAGCTAGGTTATGCGGATAAGGAACTTTTGAGGGTTTTTCTACTATATCCCCTCAGTTACAAGAATACTAGAAATGACTTTAACAAGTTTAATTGCATAGAAAAGTTAAAGAGTTTTGACTCTGCTTTAGCGGGTCAGCTAAAATGGTAAAATTACATTGTGTTTGCTCTTTCTCTTCCATAGATATGTTCAGCATCACTTGGGAACAAAGCCCAGCTTAAACTACAGGGTACTAAAAGTCTTACATTCTTTAACAGTCACCAGCTGGGAAAAGTTTTCAAGCGAATGATGAAGTAAAAGCATAGCTAAATAGGAATAGGATCAAGTTAATTCAAAAACTAAATTTTGCTGAGGGTTTTAGAACAGGGATATTATCTTGGTTTTATTAGTTTGTAAGTAGTTTAGACTGAAATGCCTGGTGGAATACGTCCTGAACTGCCATAAGCCCTTTCTCAATAAATACAAAAATATTTACTGTAGAACAGCTTGTCATCCATATGTGGACTTTTGTCACTCTATTTAAAGCCTGATTGAATATTAAGATGCGTTATCACAATGACTTTAATTCTGACAAGAACAGCTTGCATGTAAAGTTTACAAAGAAGTTTTAGAATGTAATTCTTGAATATAGCTGTATTTCTCTCCGCAGCAGATGGTAAGCCTGACTTCATCTGACTGCAGAGTTGTTTTAAAAGAAAAATAAAATTTCATGTATAAATTGATTTTTCTGCAAGTTCTGATCTGAAAGAACTGAAAGCTTTCAAATTTGCCAACAGCAGCCTTTTCTTTATACATTTGCTTGTATATTCTTTGCTGGATTTACTAGAAGAATCCAAAGCTTGTCATTAGCTAATCTTATCTGTCAGGGGTGTAAGAATTGTGTCCAACCCTTCGATTCTGTGAGGAGGGTGGAACGGAAAGGGAGAGACCATTTTTCCTTCGTTTGTTATCTGCTACAAACTATTCTTATTCAGAGAGTTGCCTTTTCCAGTGCTATACACAAGAGTTAAGGGTGGCTTATTTTAGCGTAGATAGAAGTGCTGGCCTGCAGAATAGACCAGAAGCATTTATGGTATTTCAGTGTGATTCTTCAGAGCAATGCCAAATTATTTCAGGATGGAAACACTTGGTGGAAATTGCTCTCAGAACGCATGTTTTGCATTTCATCAGTTATTATTTTACTGGGCTTATTGACAATTTTATTAATTGTCTGACATACCTTATTCTGTTAAAGGATATCTAACATACATTTTAACTGAAAAGTCCCATCTTATATATTAGTTCTCCTTGTTTGTGAGTGGGTTTTGGTACAGAATGTAACAGACAATCGAAAAACATTCTGGCTACTTACAAATATTTTGTTCCTTTTTCTTTTTGGTCTTTCTTTGCTTTCTTTTTATTCTTTCATACTAATAGTAGTTGAGACACATATATAAGTCAAGGTATTAACATGGTATTGCTGTCTAGGTAGCTTGCTGGTTTTATGTTATTTAAAGAATCACCAAAACATCCATATAAAAAAAATTGTTGCACTTTGAACACTGAATAAGTGAATTGTATAAAAGTGTGTGTGCAATAGCTTCTTAAGGCACCTGTGTTTATACACTGTAAGCATATGATTATAAATCATGGGTTTTTGGGTTTTTTAAATTTAAATGCGAAGCCCAAGCTGTTCTGGGAGGTTTCATTTTTCTGCAAGAATTACATATTCAGGTATTAAATGTGATTACGTTGTAAGGTATTTGCTCCTCTATTGTGCATTGCTGGCATTGGCTCGAGCCTCCTTCTACAAACTGAAGGTCCACATGCAGAGAGGAGATCTTTTCCATTACTAAGGAATTCAGAGCTTGATTGCAAACCTTTGTATCTATGATAAATACCCTGCCAGTAGCAGAGGGTCAAGCCCTGCTGTTCTTACATGTTCACATCTGTGCTGTTATGCCTTTAGTTGTTTTGTGAAGCAGGAATTCTGTATTTATCAATAGCACAACTAAAGCACCGGTGGAAAATGTCTTAATTCTGAGTAGTTCTCCTCTCTGCACTCAAGAATATATTTTGACTATGATTAATTTTACATCTCAGTGCCTATGAGTTTTGTTAGATGTTTAGTGATGAGGGTTTTATATATTCTTCTATGAGTTTGCAATGGATCTTGAGCTACTAAGCTTATTTCATATCATACAATGAATTAAAGAACTGTAGGTATTATTCTAAAACTGAACTTTAAATTGAGAGAAGAAAGATTCTGCTGTTCAAAAACCCCTTGAACAAGCATGTTTGTGGTGTTTCTAATCTAAGTGTGTTACTTTGGTTTAGGATTTTAGCACTTTTATCAATCTGAACTGTGTTTCATGTTTCGGTTATTCCAGACTATGTCTAATGGAATAATTCCGCTCCCAAGCAATGAACTAATAATTTATGCATCTCATCTGTTACATCAACTAATTTTCAATTACAGGTAGCACAGCGTAAGTACCAGACCTGTGTTAGGGCCATTACCAGAGGGAAGGGCTGTGTCTCCACTGATCCTTGTGGACACTTCAGAGTCCAGACTGGGCAGTGAAATGTATTGAAAAACAGTAGACCAATTCTAGCAGGAAATAGAGTGAAAAGAAAACAGAATCAGGGAGGGAGAATAAATCATTTTGGAACAATATATTATCTATCAAATGCCTTTGAAATAAGATTTTTGGCTTCATATGTCTGCAGTTCATAGTTCTGATAAATTTTAATACGGGACTTCTTTTCTTCCGTGGTCAAGAAACAGAAGCTATTCCTTTTCCTGGTCCTTGAAATTCGTGTAGAATTGATGATGGCACTGATGACTGTCACATGAAACAAATATGAGCAGAGTTAGAATGATTTTGTCTCTAGCTAATGTCTTCCTTAGGTGTAAGTCTGCTGTATTCATGAGGAATGGCTTTTTAAAGGATTCCAGCTAGTTTGGCAGTCAGTGTGCGTGTTCTTGAGACTTTGATCACTGTATATATGTGATAGGGAAGGTATTACATGTATAACTCACAAAAGGATTGATCAGATATAGGTTGTCTCCCAGCTTTGCCACCGACCAGCTAAGTGTCCGTAGACAAGGCATTTTTAATTTTTTTTATGTCTCGATATCCCCTTGTATTTAATAGGGAGCATAAAACGTGTGTTGTTATCTGATATTTGGATGCATTCAGGAACATTAGGAATTAATATTGTAGAATGCCCTGCTAACTGTGTACATCTACATAGTTACACTGTAAATATGTAAACTTAATTACCTCCAGCGTTCAAAGTAAATTATTGCCTTCCTCGACACCATGATGGCAACAAAAAAAGTATAAGGACATTTTACAAAAATAAAAAAGCATTGGAGTGGGGAGATACTGCAGTTCCCACCCAACAGGAGCACTTGGAATGTTGAATACTGCTCAGACACCTACCATACATGGAGTAATATATATATCAGAGTTATTTAATTTCTCCTCGGACCCATTTTCCAACTTCTTTGGGAATGCCAGGAACTAGGGAAAGGCAGGAATAGCAGACAGGGCTGTCGGCTCAGGGCTACTCCTGTTTCCAGAAACGTACGACTGGTCACGGTGGCTGTGATGCTATTTGGGATGCCGATCATAATTTTCTACTATATTTCATAGCCTGATGGAAAAAGATGGATTTTAAGGCGAGCGTTTGAAATGCAGAGGGTATTGATCTGGCACCCACTTAGAAAACTGCTCCAAACACAAGGAGCTGTGTGGGGAAAGGGCGCGGAGGGCGAGATTACAAAGAGGATGTGCAGAGCAAAGCCGGCGCGTGGGAGGATGCGCTGGGAGGGAGGAGATGGGTCCAACATCAATCACTATAAAGGCAAGGAGCACTGGAGGGGGAGAAGAGGAGGAGGGAGAGGACGGGAGAGGATGCCCAATTAGAAGCTGCAGTCATTGAAATGGGAGCTTGTAACTACCCTTTAAAAGTTGTATCAGCAACAATGGGGAGAAAAGACTTAGTGCTGAAGAGATTTGTAAAAGGAACAAGCTCACACTTTAATACTGCGACAGTGTGTGTCATGTAAATATTTGAATAAATCTTTTAATCGGCTTTTTCCTTCAGCTATGTTGTAGAAATAAAAAAAAAATAAAAAAACAGACAAGCACTCCTTATTTCTTTCACACAACATTTGTAAATGTATAGAGGAAGACATTGTGATACCATGATGTTAAAAGAGCAACATCTATTAGCATGTTATGGTGTTACATACCATTTCACGGTGATGTTAATAAACCAGGGAAGAAAACCCAAACAACTGCACAACAGCAAAAAAAAAAAAAAAAGTAACATTTTATTGCATTTTAAGTCTGTAATAATGATCAGTTCATAGAATCATAGAATTGTCTGGGTTGGAAGGGACCTTTAAGATCATCAAATTCAACCGTAAACCTAACATTGCCAAAACCACCACTAATTATATCCCCAGGCACCACCTTTCTGCTCCACAAAGGTGAACAAGGAAACAAGGGAAGAATTAGTAGCTTAAGTTTTCCCCTTCCTCATTCCAGGAATTTGTTCCAATGAAAAAAAAAAAAAAAATTCCATTTACTGCCTCTCTGATTCTAAGGGTTCTAAGCAAAGATTCTTCTGTGGCTAAAATTAAGGCTGCAGTATGAAAATAAAAATAATAATAATTAAAAATGCATCGTGATATTTTTGAAACACAG